TTTTTCTGAAAAGCTGGCCCAACTATGAGGACCGTCATTTCTCCATCCAATGCTTCAGCCCCTCGCGACGAAATCAGTCTCCACCTTGCAAGCAGTACCCCAAACATCGTACACTTCCTGTCAAATTCTGTCGCCTGTATTCTGAATTCGTTGGCCCACAGGCCCGATGACAACAGGATACGCAACCACTGTTCCATTGCACTGTCTGCTACGGACTGGGGGCCGAGTGCACGCAATGTCACAGCCAGCTATATCTGCATGAATACCTGATATGGGTTGTGGACATCCATCGTCACCAGCTAAGCCAGTATTTTCCATGAGATGTCGAGAGTTGGTGTAAAGTCTATCAGGAACTCCAGTGAACGGAAAAAGGAATCGTGTTGTTTCACACGCACGTGGGCCAGAATGGTTACGAGGTGGAGCAGGTTGGAAGCACCTGAGGCAGAAGCAGCGCCGCGAGAGGATGATCAAAGTTCTCCAAAGACCTCAAGACGGCTTCAAAACGGTCCGAGATGGTTCCAAGATGGTCCAACATGGCCCGAAGCTTGCCTCCAACTTAGCCCCACGACAGATCCAAGACGGCCCGCGATTGCCCCAGGACGTCCCCAAATCCCCCACGTACACCCAAGACAATCCAAGACGGCTCCACGACCCCATAAGGTTCTCAAGAAGCCAGCATCGCACCTTGTGCGCGATGCTTTGAGGTGCAGAACCTTGCGCACAGAGTGCAAACAAGCAACGCGATGAAGCAAGCAAGGAACAATGGCAAAGGCGCATCAAGCAATCAACGCTACTACTGAACAAGCGCAATCGCACACATCAGGTCGCGGTTCATTCGGCATACATTGAGGCTGAGCTCTTATCACATACGTCAGTGTTGTATCTACAAAGCATGGCAATGCTAACATCACCGTTGGTCGTCATTTCGACGCAACCCCTCCGAATACACACAACTGATAACTTAAACTCGATCATCGCTGTTTAAACTAACTCAGTTTGGTTTGTTTGAGGTTAGCTTGGTTAGACCCCCCTCGGCGGGGAAGTGCGCTTAACCGGAGGCACGTGCCTACCCAGGCACTGGAGTATCAATATTTTGCCTGGATCTGAAGCTGCTGGATGACGCCCTGGAATCCTTAACGTTGCGCCATCATCGCCGAGATCTGAGCCTAAGGAGCTGCCAGTGCTCCAAGCGCGGGCATGGGCGGCACATTGCTGTCACCAGCTACGTATCCCGCCCGCCGTGTTGTCCGTGCCCACTGGTACTTGTGATGGAGGAGGAGCTTCAGTTTTGATGGGCACCTTTGTCTCTTCGGTAGTCTTGGTCATATGCTGCAAGTCGCGCTTTGCAAGCTCCACGTCTGCATCCGCCTGCTTCACCTGTGCCTGCAGGTCGTCCAGACAAGCACGTGCCTTCTTGAGCCTGCGTTCGGCCCTAGAGAGGGCCTCCTCTTGCTGGGTGAGCTGTTCCTCCTCGCTCTGAACAGCATCGTCTACGTAGTCGAGAACTCCAGCACCGCGCCATGGTAGCCTGGTTGTCCTCGGAGGTATCGTCCCTGTCGAGGATGATCCTATTCAAGGCCTCCAGCGTCGCTCAGACCAGCTCCTTGTAAGACTCGACCTCGAAGTTGGAATCTTGCGGCCCAGGAGGAGGCCGCCACCGAAGATGTCTTCGAGCCGCCTGCGGCAGGGGAGGGCGCATGTGTAGCAGGTCCTTGGATGACCGGTAGTCGTCCCCAGACTGCTGCACCTCCCCGTCCTCTAGCTCCAGGGTCGTGTTCTTCGGAGGATGCTGTCGACTCTGACGTCGTTGTAGAACCCTTCTGGCCGCCGCCAGCAGGAGAAGGACTCGGGCACGCGAGCACGTTGCCCGGTTGAGACAGACGGCAGTCTGCCCAACAGCGCCCGCTGATGGTTTTGGACAGCACTTGTTGTTGGGCACCGTAGCCGTTTTTCAGTGCCCACTTTGGGCGTCCAAAGCAGTGGCGAAGCATCCTGAATCAACTCCTCCCTCCTTCCATCCCTTTCTCTCAAGACCCCCTCGGGGCACGAACAAATTACGCTGCTGGATGTTTTTTCAGTTTTCGGCCTCTGGGGGCCCTCACCCAGCCCCAGATGAAGCCCCGGTCCCGGGGAAGGGGTCGACACACCGGGGAAGGGGTCGTGACAAATTCATGGCGTCGGGGGTCTGGGTCCCTTCTTTCTTCCTTCCCGCAAAAGTCAGCCCTACTCCCCATCATCCCCTCTCCCGGCCGCCCCCCCACAGCGACGAGCTAAGCGTCTTGCGAAATCCAGCTGGTCTTGCTCCTTTTCAGCCCTACTTACTCCCCACTGTCGAAGCGCGCTTCTGCTGCGGCGCGTTTGGCTTCGCATCTGTCCGCGCAGGGTGTTGGAGTTTTGCGCAGCATCGGCCTGCAACCCAGGGCCCTGTACATTGATTTCCCAGGCAGCACCCCAGAAAATGTTATAACACTTGTTTGCGTCCAAACAGCAACAAATAATGCTATTCGAACATTTTCGGATGAGGCAGTCTTATTTGAAGACGCCGGTTGCTCTGAGAGCCTGGTCCTGTTGGCCGAACATGATTTGCCGCGTCCATCGTCGCACAGGCTCTGGAATGGAGCGGTGCATGGCCAACACGGGGTCACATAGCCCCGCGGGGTCACGGGGTCAACACGGGGTCACACCAGCCACGTTTGGCTCCCGAGGGCTCTTCCCAGGGTCCCCCAGGGAGTTCACACAATATGCAGCAAAAACGCTTGTGTGTGTGACTGCCGAAAGTTGGCACAGCTCCAGATTCATTTTGGAGCGTCCATTATGGACGTCGTGGCCATGTTCTATGAGCATGCCGTAGCAGGCCCAACTTGGAATGCCGCGACGGTCCGCCCCTGCCAGAGGACTTCGGCGCCGGTGACCGGGGCGTGGTGCTGCGCGTGGACGCGGCGGCGGGCGCCTGCGACGTAGCCTTCGGCTCGGCGTCGGGGGCGGAGGCCTCCTCGGTGCTGCGGGTGGCCGCGCGGCACCTGGAGCTGGACCCTCCCCGGGGGCCGGAACGCCGGCGCCAGCCAGCGATCCGCCGATTCCGCGGAGGAGGGCCCAGTAGCTCAGCGCGCGGCGGGGACCGGGGCCCGGCCGGGCGGCGTCGAAGAGCCCGCGGCCGCGCCCCCGGCCCCCCATCGTGATCGGCGGTTTTAAGACGGGGCCCTGGAGGGATGGGAGGCGTCACAGGTTGATCCCTCAATGCTTGACCCTCAGATCCTAGCGTTGCAGTTGGTCCAACACGAGGGATGTTACCCTGTTTCGGGCCCTGGGACCCTCACAGATCGATCCGGCTCGAAAAAAGGTGCAGAATGGTGGAGTCTGGGTCTCTGGTCGTGATTTGTCATGAGGCTGCAAGTTTTTCGCAACATCGGATCTCGGAGGCGCCGCCAGACATCGTCAATCCAAGACATGCGCGCGGGCCCCCAAATGGTTTTGTTCCCCACATCCTGAGTGGGGATCTTGTTTTTCTCCAGACACCCCGCACAGAAACAAGGTCCAACCACATCATCATTCAGAATCAGCATCATCAGCATCAGCATCAGCATCAGCATCAGCATCATCACATTCAGCACCATCAGCATCACCAGCACAAACACCATTACCAGCATCATCATCAGCATCATCACCATAATACTCATCTTCAGATTTATCTTACTTTTCAGTTTCATCAGCCGCATCATGACCACCAGCATCAGCATCAACATAATCATCTTCATCTTCATCAAAAACATCTTCATCTTCATCTTCATCATCATCATAATCGTCATCCCTTTCAGCATCGCACTCATCATTAGCATCACCATCACCAACAACATCATCATCATCAGCTCCATCATTACCATCATCATCATCACCACCATCCTCCTCCTCCTCATCATCATCATGATCCTCCTCCTCCTCCTCCTCCTCCTCCTCCTCCTCATCATCATCATCATCATCTGACACACACACTTCTTCATCCACTCGTGGGCACTCAAACTCACACTCGAAATCAGCATCACCACTCATCAGCATGATTGCTCATCATCACCCTACACACATAGTCGCATTGAGGAAAGTCTCAAGCGGGAGCCCCCTCCTTATGCGGCCCGCAGCTCATGTTGAAAATTCAAGCGGGGCCATTTGTAAACTCTACCAGGCATAACAATTGAGCACCCCAAGGGGGCAAATCGTGAGGATGTCTCGAGCGGGGGCCTCTTCTATGAGTCTGCGAGGAAGTCTCAGGCGGGAGCCCCCTCATTATGGTGCTCTCATTTCATGTTCGAATCCGAGCGGGTCACCCGAGACATTTACCAGGAACAGTGCTTGAACACCCCAATGGGGCACATCGCCAGGATGTCTCGAGCGGTGGCCTCGTGTGTGCGTGAATTGCGAGGAAGCGGAAGGAAGGAGGAGGAGGAGGAGGAGGAGGAGGAGGAGGAGGAGGAGGAGGAGGAGGAGGAGGAGGAGGAGGAGGAGGAGGAGGAGGAGGAGGAAGAGAGAAGAAGAAGAAGAAGAAGAAGAAGAAGAAGAAGAAGAAGAGAGGAGGAGGACGAGGACGAGGACGAGGAGGAGGAGGAGGAGAAGGAGGAGGAGGAGAGGAGAAGGGGGAGGAGGACCAGCATCAGCAGCAGCAGGCAGGAAGAGGAGGAGGACGAGGAGGAGGAGGAGGAGGAGAGGAGCAGGAGGAGGAGGAGGAGGAGGAAACGGAAAAAATGCTCAAGGGGGAGGAGGAGGGGGAGGAGCAGGAGGAGGAGGAGGAGGAGGAGCAGGAGCAGGAGCAGGAGCAGGAGCAGGAGCAGGAGCAGGAGGAGCAGCACCAGCAGCAGCAGCAGAAGCAGCAGCAGCACCAGCAGCAGCAGCAACAGCCAGCAGCAGCAGCCGCAGCAGCAGCAGCAGCCCAAGCAGCAGCTTCTGATCTCCGGACCCCGCGCGTATAAAGGCAATCCGCGCGCGAGGCCGGTGCCGGATGCAGGGCGGCGATGTGGCCAGCCGGCACCGAGGGCGGAGCTTTCCGTGCGGGTGCGCACGAGCACGGCGCCAGCGGGCCCGCCGACGCCGGCGCCGTGGGCAGGGCTCGCGGCCGTGGCGGGCTCTCGCCCAGCGACCACCGTGGCCGTGCCGCCACAGCCTGCAGCTACGCAGGCAGCCGAGGCCGACGCCCCCCCTCCGCAGGCAGCAACTTCCGCCCTGGAGGGCCTTGCCGGTATCAAGGCCCGCGTCGCCGCCCTCCGCCCCTTCCCCGAGTGGGCGGCGGAGGTGGCGCGGCTCGAGTCCGCGGCAGCCGAGCTGCGGAGCGCGCCGCCCGGCCCCTCGAGCGCCGGCTGCAGTCCGCCCTGTACTCGCGGCGCGGCCGCGCCGACGCGGCGCAGCGCGCCCAGGACGTGGCGGCAGCGGCTCGGGCCGCAGCCGAGGAGGCACAGCGGGCCGCCAAGGCAGCGGACGCCCACGCTGCCCAGGCCATCGCCGAGGCGCAGGCCGCGGAGCAGCACCCGGCCGCTGTGCAGGCTGAGGTGGCTGCCGCCAGCATTGCAGCGCGCCTTGCTGCCGATGGAGGCGCTGCGGAGCTCGATGGCGTGCTCGCGGCGCTTGCTGGCGCCGCCGCCCAGGCAGGCGCGGCTGGCCTCGTGCAGCAACTGCGGGCTGCGTTGCTGCCTCCTGCCCCCGCGGGCCCCGCAGCTGCCAGTGGTGCGGCGGCGGGTCTGGGCGCCGCCGGCGACTCCGCGATGCCCGAGGCCTGTGGCGCTACCGTGGAGGCGGCGCTGGCGTGGTCTCCGGCGCGCCGCGGCGGCGGCTCTGGCCGGCGCGGGTTCTCACCTGCTCGCGCCGCAGACGAGGACGAGGACGAGGACGAGGACGAGGACGAGGAGGCCGAGGGACGGTATAGGTCCAGGGACCGCGAGCCGCCACTCTTCGCGCAAACTGGACCCCTCCCGCCTGGTGAACGCACGCTGCCATTGTAGCCAGCGGGACGGGGCGTGCCGCCAGGAGCTGCTGCCAAGCGGGCCTGCCGCGGGTGTTGCGGCAGGCGCTGCCTCCGCGCGATCGACGTTTGCGGAGCCCTTGGTGCGGCGTGCGCGTCGGTGGGGCTCGGCATCCTGGGCTTCGGCAGATCCTCGAGGACTGCCCGACGCCAGCGGTGGAGGACCAGCTCGCCGAACAGGATCTATCGCTGGGCCACGCGCTGAAGGTCCTGACTGAGGGCGCCGACGCGGAGCTGTCGTTCGCCAGGCGGCAGAGCCGACACGTGACGCTTTGCGATCATTGCCAGCTGCCCCAAACTGGCGGCCAGGCTAAGAGAGATGAGTCTCTCCTGCAATGCGCGGAGCGCGAGGGAGGCATCGAGTGGAGTACCGGAAGTAGATATACCGATGTTCTTCTTGCCCTACGGTCGTCCGCAGGCACTGCGCCTCCCAGCTGCAGCAGCAGCAGCAGCAGCAGCAGCAGCAGCCTCAACAGCATCAACAACAGGTTGTGGCACTTGGAGCTGCGGTGGGGTCGCCTTCTGAGGAGCCGCCCTTGCAGGGACCTCCTGCCGCTGCTTACGACAGTCCGCCCCCAGCGGCTGCAGATAGAGTGAGTGAGCTAAGTCAGCTATTGCTGGCGCTTCGGAAACTCCCAGTCGTTCGCCGCATACCGTTGGCACAATTGGTGACCACGCGTTTCGCCCGCCAGTGCGCCGCAGTTCGACTGCAGGCTCTCGAGAAGGTCATGGACGTCCTGGACTCCGACCTCGGTCCGCTGGCGCAAGAGGAGCTCAACCACCTGGCGCTCCCCGTGCCGCACCTCCTTCTTCGCGAGCGCCCTGCCGAGCCTGATGAGCATGCCGCAGTGCCGCCGGACCCTGACGAAGCTGGCGGGGAAGCAGCCCCGCCCCAGCAGAGCTTCGTCCGCCTCCTGCGTGCCAAAATGCAGGTCGCCAGTGCTGCTCAGTGGCTTGATCCAGTCATTGCAGTCGCTCGGGACGAGCGGAAGTAGGCTGCGACTTGTGCCGCGCATGGCATTGGGCATGCCAGCCACTTACGCGACGCACCACCTGCTGCTGCCGCCGCTGCGGCCGTTGCCACCCAGCAGGACTTCATTTCAACGTGGACTCGCGCCCTGGAGGCCGCCGATAGAGGCGACCTCCGCAAGGCAAAGCGCGCGCTGACCGGGGCGCAGCTCCACCCGCCGACGGAGGAGACGCACGACAAGTTTACTGCGCTGCTGCCGCCTGCCTCCGCCGAGGCTCGCTCCTCGAGGCCGCCAGCCCTGCCGCTTACTAGTGTAGCCCCATCGAGGCCAGGCAGGTCCGCGCGTACATCTGGAGCGCTCGTGCATTGGCACACGACGGGCCCAGCGGGGAACGCAATTCCCGCGTCCTGGCGCTCCTCCGGAGCCCGCATGTGACGTTGACACATTCGAGATGCTCTTCGATGTGGGCATGCCGGCAGTTGCCTGCCTTCACCCGGCAGCCCTGGTTGCACATGCAGTTGATCGCGTCGGACAAGAGCGGGGGCAAAGCGCGCCCCATCGTCTTCCAGGAGATCTTCCTCAAGCTTGCCGCAGGCACCGTGAGCCGCGCGGCGCTCCACAGGGTCTTCCGCGCACGTCGGCAGCAACCGCCATGGGCTCGGCGCCGAGAGCGGCGCTGCTGCCCTTTTCGCCGAGGTCCAGGCGGACATGGCAGCTCATCCGGACTGGGTCTACCTAGAGCTCGACCTCGAAAACGCCTTCGGCACGGCCCGCCGCCGGGGCGCTTGCGAGCAGGCCCGCGCCTGCTTTCCGCGCGCGGCAGCACTGCACCACAACCTGCGGTTTGGGGTAGTCCGGCAGCTGTGCTACGCCCAGGAACAGTTCAAGACGCTGGAGATGCAGGAGGGTTGCTGCCAGGTTTCGGTTCAAGATGCTGCGGCGCAACCTCCGTCGCCAGCGTTCGCGACATCACCGAGGCTTACTCGCAGGCGTTTCCGGACGACTCCTCTCCCCGGCGTCTTCGCTTCTTCGTTGACGGCGTCTGCGTCGCGGTTTCGAGAGAGCATTGGCTGCAGGCGATGCTGATCGCGACGCAGTGCTTTGCCGGATGCGGCTTGACACTGCGAGCCGAGAAAACGAAGGTTCATGTGCCAGCTGCCCGTTCTGACCCGGGTCTCGCAGGCGAGCTCGTTGCCGAGTTGCGCCCGTTTGCTGAATTCGACGCGTCTGGTCTCGCTTTCCTTGGCGCCCACGCCGAGGGCGATTTCAGTGCGCATTTTAGTTTTGGCGGGGCCACCCTGGGCCCAGTGCAAAAGCGGTGCGAGAGACCGATCGCATTCGCTTCAGTTTTGCAGCAAGTTGTTCGCGCAGAGTTCCAGTGCCGCAAGTTTGGCCCCCGATGGAAGCTCGTGTGTTCTGTCTTGAACCGCGCCTTGTCCTACGACGCCTGTGTTGCGAAGCCGGCAGCTTTCCTGCCGCGCGCGCGTCGTCTGGACATCGCGGTCTGCGACCTTGTCCGGGCAGTTGTCTTAGGACTTGCTTGCACGGATCCGCAGTGTCAGGCGAGTTTCAGCTCTCTGACTGCGCCGCTCAGCCACGGAGGCATGGCGCTTCGCCCCATCGCTTTTGAAGCTCATTTTTCGTATCTCGCTACGCTCCTCAGCACGCTGCCAAAAGCCTCTCGGCAGCTCGCCGTCGCCCTGCAGCCGGCTGTCATCGATATAGGGTACGAGCACTCTGGTATTTTCGCTGCTGGCAAATATCGCATCGGCCGGCTATAAGCGGAGTCTTCCTCGACGCGCGCGGGCGCCTGCGCGTTTTCATTCGAGAACGCTGCAGCTGCAGGCGTCGCGCTGCGGCGCGGCCGAAAATGGTAGATGCTTCGAGTGGCCGATGCCGGTCTTGTCGCCGGAACGCCCCGGCCCGGAAAGCGGGCTCGGATTTGCGGCCCATGCCACTGGGGATTTGGCTCCTTGGTCGGACGACGAGTTCCGCATCCACTTCCTGCGCTTCCGGCTTCCACCCTTTGGCGTTGCTTGTTTCTGCCAGCACCGCACGCGTGTTGGTAGGGTCTGTGGCCACCCGCTCGTCGAGCATGGGGATCACGCGATCTCGTGCATGGTGGGAGAGGGCCACAACCGTCTGCGCGATGACGTGTGCGACGAGCTCGCGACGTGCGCTCGCGCAGCCGGCCTTGCATCCACGCGCGAGTCGCGTTTCCAAAGCTTGCTACTGAATCCAGGCGCGCGCCGCGCGTAGACGTTCAGCTCTGGGACCGCTGCTCGCTACCAGTTTGCCACGGTGACGTCACTGTCGGTAGCACACAACCGCCGCGGCCATTCGGCGACCGCCGGTGTTGGAGCGACCGCTGCCGAGGTCGCGAAAGCCACGAAATACTCAGTTCGTGGCGGTACCAGCGCGCAGGGCCTTACACTTGAACTTTCAGTGGGCAGCACGGGCCGCAGCTGTCGCGTCAGCTGCAACAGCTTGCTGGCCTCACCCGGCACCAGGGCCATCTCCGTGGCACGGGGTGCGCGCAGTCGCCGCTGAGCGATTGGAGGCAGCGGGTTGCCGTCAATTTGGGGCAAGCCACTGCGGTGCTCGCCTCCTTTGCTACTGCACCAGTGGCCCTATAGTGGCCCAGTGGTGCGCGTACCATTTTACAGGTGTTCTCGGTAAAACTTTTCCGCGCATATGTGTCCCAAACAACATCAGCAGCAGGCAGGAGGAGGCAGGAGACAGCAGGCACCAGGAGGCATGGGGAGGAGGCGTGGGGAGGAGGCAAAAGGAGGCGGAGGAGAAGGAGGCAAGAGGAGAAGGGGGAGGCAGGAGGGTGTAGGAGGAGGGGTCCAGAGGATACCTTCAGGCAAGCTAAACCTATTATCGTGGGGCATCGCTCCATCGGGGCAATGTACGTCAAAGTTTGTTCCTCTACTATCGAAGACGCCTACGGCGAATCACCGCTGCCCCCTGCCTTTTTGGAAACGCCCAGACCTGCCAGCTATCGTTGAGGCCAGACCTGTCAAGCTATCGGACCATGTGTTCCCCGGATCGGTTTGGAAAGCCTTCGGGGAACACGTGGGCATCTTGAAGGTCATCTTGGCCGTCTGGAGGCCATTTGACCCGTTCAGGCCTTCTTGGAGGACGTCTTGGAGGGCTGTTGGGCCGTCTTGGAGGTCATCTTGGGCGTTGTGGAGGCATCTTGGGCAGTCTTGGATGCCTCTTGGGGCCGTCTTGGGCGATCTTTGGGGGCATTTGGGCCGTCTGGGCCATCGGAAGGCCGAACAAAAAGCAAATGCCACAATCCTTCAAACACTCGGGGGAAGTTAATGATGTTGGTCTTTTCGGGCGTTCCTCGATACCCTCTTGGAGGCCTGTTGGGCCGTCTTGGGCCATCTTGAGGCCATCTTCGGCCGTTTTGTCTTGGTGGGTTCCTGGCCCTTCTGACGCCGTCGGAAGCCGTTTAAGGGGGTCTCTCTGGGCCGACTTGGGGCCCTCTTGGAATGCTCCAGGGCCGTTTTCGAGGCCATCTTGGGCGTCTTACAAACATCCTGGGCCGTTTTGGGGGCCTCTTGGGGCCGTCTTGGGGGCCTCTTGGGCCGTTCTGGGGCCATCTTGGAGGCTTCTTGGGCGATCTTTGGGCTATCTTTGGGGGCTCTTGGCCCGTCTCGGGCCGTCGGAAGGCCGAACAGAAGCAACTGTCAAAATCCGTCACGAACCGAAGGGAAATGCATGTTGTTGGCCTTTTTCTAGCCTTCCTGGATGCCTCTTGGAGGCCTCTTGGGCCAGCTTCGAGCCAACTTCGGCCATCTTGGTGGGTTCCTGGCACGTTTGACGCCGTCGGGGGCCGTCTTGGGGACCTCTCTGGGCCGACTTGGGGCCCTCTTGGGGCGCTTCGGGGCCGTCTTAGAGGCCATCTTGGGCGTCTTGGAGGCCCCCTTGGGGCCGTCTTGGGGGCCTCTTGGGCCGTCATGGGGCCATCTTCGAGGCCTCTTGGGCGATCTTGGGGCGACCTTGGCGGCCTCTTGGGCCGTCGTGGGCCGAAACCTTCGGGGAACATCAATGGTTTTGGCCTTTCCTGGCCTTCCTGGAGGACCTCTTGGAGGCCTCTTGAGCCATCTTGGAGGCCTCTTGGGAGCCTCGTGGGCCGTTTGGGGCCATCTTGAGGCCATCTCAGGCCGTCTTGGGTGCATCTTGGTCCGTCTTGGAGGCATCTTGGGGCCATCTTGGCCGTCTTGGAGGCATCTTGGAGGCTATCTTGAGCCATCTTGGAGAATTGTTTGTGGACGTTGAGGTCGTTTGCGGGCCTGGAGTTCCCTCCTGGGACTCCGGCGGGACGGGCCGAAGCGCCAGGGGGAGTTCTTGTGGAAAAAGAACCAACACCAAACCCGTAAGAAGTCCAGCACGCCAGGCACCCCTGCGATGAATCGACAGGGGGCGGCGGATAACGGAAAGAGCGAGGTACGAGTGATGACGTTTTGGTGTAGGGCGAAGCCCCTAAAGGGGAGTGCAGAGGGGGGGTGGGGGGAGGGAGTGAGTGTGCATGGCCGTTTTCGGATTTTCCTCCGGGTTTTTGCATGTTTTCCGAGTTCCCCCCCCCAAGACGGCCCAAGAGCGCTCCAAGAGAGCCCAAGACCGCCCAAGAGATCCCCAAGATGCCCCCAAGATGCCCCCAAGAGGCGTCCAAAGGGCGTCCCAAGAGGGCCCCAAGAGAACAAAATTATTGATTTTCCGCAGGAAAGCAAATATTCTCAGCATATTCGGCTATTCGGTTTTCACGGCGTTGACGACGGCCCAAGAGGCCCCCAAGACCGCCCCAAGACGGCCCAAGAGGCTCCCAAGAGGCCCCCAAAACGGCCCAAGAGGGCCCCTAAAACGGCCAAAGAGGCGCCCAAGACGGCCCAAGAGGGCCTCAAGACGGCCCCAAGAGGGGAACCACGAACGGAAAAGTCTAGCCTTTCGCCCCAAGACGCTCCCAGGAGGCCCCCAGAGCCCCCCAAGAAGCCCCAAGAGGCCTCGAAGAGGTTCCCAAGAGGCCTCCAAAAGAGCTCCAAGATGGCTCCAATAGGACCCCCAAGACGGCCCAGAGACGCCAAAGAAAGTGCGATCGGTAACGCAAAATGCTCTTCACACCAAGGCTCCCAAGAGCGAACGGTGACGTAAACAAGCTGATAAGACCAAGGCTCCCAGCAGAGAGCGGTGACGTAATAAGTTCCTGACACCAAGGCCCAGCCAAGGCTCAGGAACGGGCGGCAACGCAACAATCTGTGAACACCAAGGCTCCCAAGAGCGCGGGTTGACGTAACAAGCTCTCAACGCCAAGGCTCCCGGTACGAACGATGGTGTGAGTAATTTCGGTTTCTGTTTCTGAAGCGCTCTGTCGTTTCTGTGCTGGGCCAGGTAACGGAAAGAGCGAGGTACGAGTGATGACGTTCTGGTGTGGGCGAAGCCCTTAAAGGAGGGGGTCCAGGGGAGGGGGGTAGCCCGGGGGAATGAGTTTAATTGCAGTTTTCGGGTTTTCCTTTGGGTTGTTGTATGTTTTTCGGGTTTCCCCCCAAGACGGCCCAAGAGCGCTGCAAGAGAGCCCAAGACCGCCCAAGACGGCCCAAGAGGCCCCCAAGAGGCCCCCAAGAGGCGCCCAAGGGGCGCCCCAAGAGGCCCCCAAGAGGCCAAACTCATCGATTTTCCAACGGGGAACGTGCATTTTTCGCATATACGGCTTTTCGGCTTTCACGACGTTGACGACGGCCCAAGAGGCCCCCAAGACCGCCCCACGACGGCCCAAGAGGCTCCCAAGAGGCCCCCAAAACGGCCCAAGAGGGCGCCAAGACGGCCCAAGAGGCGCCCAAGACGCCCAAGAGGGCCCCAAGACGGCCCCAAGAGGGGGACCACGAACCGAAAAGTCTAGCCTTTCGCCCCAAGACGCTCCCAGGAGGCCCCAAGAGCCCCCCATGAAGCCCCAAGAGGCTCCCAAGAGGCGTCCCATTTCGCTGCGTTGACGACGGCCCACGAGGCCCCCAAGACCGCCCCAAGACGGCCCAAGAGGCTCCCAAGAGGTCCCCAAAACCGCCCAAGAGGGCCCCCAGACGGCCCAAGAGGCGCCCAAGACGGCCCAAGAGGGCCCCAAGACGGCCCCAAGAGGGGGACCACGAACGGAAAAGTGTAGCCTATCGCCCCGAGACGCTCCCGGGAGGCCCCCACAGCCCCCCAAGAAGCCCCAAGAGGCACTCAAGATGCGTCCCAAGAGGCCACCAGGAGGCCAAAATCATTGATTTTCTTTTGGAAAACGTGCATTTTAGCATACACGGTTCTCCGGCTTTCGCTGCGTTGAAGACGGTCCACGAGGCCCCCAAGACCGCCCCAAGACAGCCCAAGAGGCTCCCAAGAGGCTTCCAAAACGGCCCAAGAGGGCCCCAAGACGGCCCAAGACGGCCCAAGAGGGCCCCAAGACGGCCCCACGAGGGGGGCTACGAACTCGAAAAGTCTAGCTTGTCGCCCCAAGAAGCTCCCAGCAGGCCCCCTGAGCCTCCCAAGAAGCCCCAAGAGGCCCCCAAACGGTGTCCAAGAGGCTTCCAAAAGGGCTCCACAAGGGCCCCCATAAGACTCCCAGGAAGGCCCAGAGACGCCAATAGAGAGCGGTCGGTAACGCAAAAAGCTCTTCACACCAAGGCTCCCAAGAGCGAACGGTGACGTAAACAAGCTGATAAGACCAAGGCTCCCAGCAGAGAGCGGTGACGCAACACGTTCCTGACACCAAGGCCCAGCCAAGGCTCAGGAACGGGCGGCAACGCAACAATCCCTGAACACCAAGGCTCCAAGAGCGAGGGGTGACGTAACAAGCTCTCAACGCCAAGGCTCCCGGTACGAACGGTGGTGTGAGTAATTTCGGCTTCTGTTTCTGAAGCGCTCTGTCGTTTCTGTGCTGGGCCAGGTAACGGAAAGAGCGAGGTACGAGTGATGACGTTCTGGTGTGGGCGAAGCCCTTAAGGGGGGGGTCCAGGGGGGGGCGTAGGGGGAGCAAATGAGTTTAATGGCCGTTTAGGGGGTTTTCGTTTCTGTTTTTGCATGTTTTTCGGGTTCTTCCCGTTTCCGTCCCAGAAGGGCCCTAGACAGCCCAAGAGGCCCCAGAGATCGTCACAAGAGGCGTCTGCCCAAGAGGCGCCCCCCCAAGAGGCCAAACTCATTGATTTTCCATCGGGCAACGTACATTTTTAGCATATATGGCTTTTCGGCTTTCACGGCGTTGGCGACGGCCCAAGAGGCCCCCTAGACCGCCCCACGACGGCCCAAGAGGCTCCCAAGAGGGCCCCAAGACGGCCCAAGAGGGCTCCTAAAACGGCCCAAGAGGCGCCCAAGACGGCCCAAGAGGGCCTCAAGACGGCCCCAAGAGGGGAACCACGAACGGAAAAGTCTAGCCATTCGCCCCAAAACGCTCCCAGGAGGCCCCAAGAGCCCCCCAAGAGGCGCCCAAGGGGCGCCCCAAGAGGCGCGCCCCAAGAGGCCAAACCCATTGATTTTCCATAGGAAAACGTGCATTTGTTGCATATACGGCTTTTCGGTTTTCACGGCGTTGACGACGGCCCAAGAGGCCCCTTAGACCGCCCCACGACGGCCCAAGAGGCTCCCAAGAAGCCCCCAAAACGGCCCAAGAGGGCCCCTAAAACGGCCCAAGAGGCGCCCAACACAGCCCAAGAGGGCCCCAAGACGGCCCCAAGAGGGGAACCACGAACGAAAAAGTCTAGCCTTTCGCCCCAAGACGCTCCCAGGAGGCCCCAAGAGCCCCCCAAGAAGCCCCAAGAGGCTCCCAAGAGGCGTCCCAAGAGGCCACCAGGAGGCCAAAATCATTGATTTCAAATGAAACAAATGGTACATTTCTTGCATGCAAGGCTTTTCGGCTTTCACGGCGTTGACGACGGTCCAAGAGGTTCTAAAGACCGCCCCAAGACGGCCCAAGAGGCTCCCAAGAGGCACCGAAAACGGCCCAAGAGGGCGCCAAGACGGCCCAAGAGGCGCCCAAGACGGCCCAAGAGGGCCCCAAGACGGCCCCAAGAGGGGGACCACGAACGGAAAAGTTTAGCCTTTCGCCCCAAGAAGCTCCCAGGAGGCCCCCAGAGCCCCCCAAGAGGTCCCAAGAGGCCCCCAAGAGGTTCCCAAGAGGCCTCCAAAAGTGCCCGAAGAGGGCCCCGATAGTACTCCCAAGAAGGCCCAGAGACGCCAAATAGAAAGCGATCGGTAACGCAAAAAGCTCTTCACGCCAAGGCTCCCAAGAGCGAACGGTGACGTAAACAAGCTGATAAGACCAAGGCTCCCAGCAGAGAGCGGTAACGTAACAAGTTCCTGACACCAAGGCCCAGCCAAGGCTCAGGAAGGGACGGCAACGCAACAATCCCTGAACACCAAGGCTCCAAGAGCGAGGGGTGACGTAACAAGCTCTCAACGCCAAGGCTCCCGGCACGAACGGTGGTGTGAGTCATTTCGGTTTCTGTTTCTGAAGCGCTCTTTCCGTTTCTGTGCCGGGCCAGGTAACGGAAAGAGCGAGGTACGAGCGATGACGTTGTGTGTTGGGCGAAGACCCTTGAGGGGGGGGTCCAGGGGGGGTGGGTAGCCCGGACGAGTGAGTGTTAATGGCCGTTTTGGGGGTTTTCGTTTGGGTTTTGCATGTTTTTCGGATTCTCCCTCAAGACGGCCCAAGAACGCTCCAAGAGAGCCCAAGACGGCCCAAGAGGCCCCCAAGAGGCGCCCAAGGGGCGTCCCAAGAGGGCCCCAGGAGGCCCAAATCATATATTTTCCATAGGGAAACGTGCATTTGGGGTATATACGGCTTTTCGGCTTTCACGGCGTTGACGACGGCCCAAGAGGCCCCCAAAACCACCCCAAGACGGCCCAAGAGGCTCCCAAGAGGTCCCCAAAACCGCCCAAGAGGGCCCCTAAGACGGCCCAAGAGGCGCCCAAGACGACCCGAGAGGGCCCCAAGACGGCCCCCAAAGGGGGACCACGAACCGAAAAGTCTAGCCTTTCGCCCCAAGACGCTCCCGGGAGGCCCCCACAGCCCCCCAAGAAGCACCCAAGAGGCGCCCAAGAGGCGTCCCAAGAGGCCACCAGGAGGCCAACATCATAGATTCTATGTTGGAAAACGTGCATTTTTAGCATACACGGTTTTCCGTCTTTCACGGCGTTGACGACGGTCCACGAGGCCCCCAAGACCGCCCCAAGAGGGCCCAAGAGGCTCCCAAGAGATCCCCAAAACGGCCCAAGAGGGCCCCTAAGACGGCCCAAGAGGCGCCCAAGACGGCCCAAGAGGGCCCCAAGACGGCCCCAAGAGGTGGACTACGAACCAGAAAGTCTAGCCTGTCGCCCCAAGACGGCCCCAAGAGGGGGACTACGAACCAGAAAGTCTAGCCTGTCGCCCCAAGACGCTCCCAGCAGGCCCTTGGAGCCCCCCAAGAAGCCCCAAGAGGCCCCCAAGAGGCCTCCAAAAGGGCCCGAAAAGGGCGCGAACAGGGCCGCAATAGGACGCCCAAGAAGGCCCAGAGACGCCAAATAAAAAGCGATCGGTAACGCAAAAAGCTCTTCACGCCAAGGCTCCCAAGAGCGAACTGTGACGTAAACTAGCTGATAAGACCAAGGCTCCCAGCAGAGAGAGGTGACGTAACAAGTTCCTGACACCAAGGCCCAGCCAAGGCTCAGGAACGGGCGGCGACGCAACAATCTCTGCACACCAAGGCTCCCACGAGCGAGAGGTGACGTAACAAGCTCTCAACGCCAAGGCTCCCGGCACGAACGGTGGTGTGAGTCATTTCGGTTTCTGTTTCTGAAGCGCTCTTTCCGTTTCTGTGCCGGGCCCAGGTCTACTGGCTTTCGGCCCATCCCGCCGCCGTGCCTGGGCTGTGGGTCGGAGCTCTCAGGGATGCTTTATTGGGTCTCTTCGGAGCGCTCTCGGTGGCCTCTTTGGGGCAGTTTTGGGGCCTCTTGTACCTCTTGGGGCATCTTAAGGGCTCCTGGAGACCCCTCGGGGCCACGGGCTTCCAATGTCCGCTCGTGTTCACTATCTGTACCTCCTCTTGGGGCCGTCTTGGGGCCCTCTTGGGCCGTCTTGTGCGCCTCTTGGGCCCTCCTTGGCCGTCTTGGGGCCATCTTGGGGCCCTCGAGGGTTGTTTTTGGACGATATTGGGAGCCTCGTGGGCCGTCTTGGAGCGTCGGGAAGCCGAAACGGCGAGAACGCCAGAATCTTTCTAACATGTTGCAGAAACGCCAATGCATTGTGCCTCTTCGGGCCCCCTTGGAGGCCTGTTGGAGGCCTCTCGGGTCGCCTTGGAGGCTTCTTGGGCAGTGTTGAAGCCTTTTGGGGCGTGCTGGGGCAATCTTTCGGCGACTCGGGGCCCTCTGAGGCGGTTTTTCGGCGACGCTGCACAGGGGCATGGTTTCGGGTACAACGGGGGTTCGAATTCAGAAACCATATGCTTTTCGTCAGAAGACCCTGAATGTCTTTGCTCCGTGTGCTGCGCGGTGACTCCTCGCGGCCGTTGGAGAAGCTGCTGCGTTAAGGGTGCTCTGGGTTCCCCCCATGTACATCTCGCGCGCGGGTTTGCGGGGCTCGGTTTCTTGCGAGGGCTTCTTGCGACCGCGTCCGCACTGTAGGCCCCATCCCTCAGGTCGGCAGTGCCGACCTGCGGGATGGAGCCTACAGCGCGGGTGCTGTCAACTCGGTACCACCCAAAAGTACTTTTACGATGTATGCGTCGTACCTGCAATGGCGACGCGCGCGCCCGGAAATCCTGCATACATCGGTGCTCAACGCCATTCCAATAACGTTGGTGCGCTGTCGGCTTTATACTTTGCCGTGTCTTGGGCGTAAGAATATCTTCCGTCATCCTCGTATTCCTCTTCTCCTTCATTGGCCGTCACCGAATACGGTCTCGAAGTATGCGGCCGGCGTGGCCCAGCGCCACACACGAGGGAGGGCGAACGTTCGATTTATGCTCCGTATTCGCCATCTCTACGATCAGGTGGCTGGTCAGGTCATCTTCAGGAAGGTGGAAAGCCATACTGGAGAATTTCTGAACGAGCGCGCTGATCATCTGGCCGGCTCTGGGGCCAGTGGGATCGTCTGTGGCCTGGCGGGTTCTCGTCGCTGGGCGAGTTCATGGAGCTAGTCTTGGCTGTTTGAGGACAGGCAGCCCTCCTTCATTTTCCTGTCGCGCGCTCTAACAACCTACAGCACAGACTCCGTTGCGGGCGCTTTCTCGCCTTGCCGCTTGGGAAGCGGTTCGCTATGAGACTTGTGTGCCATATGTTCGTGGCGGACGTGCGCCTCCAACACCAGCACATAGTCCCAGTATGTCCTTCTGCGTTGGAGCTGGCTGGGGGCCTGAGGTGGCCCGCGCTGTTTCTGGCCAGAAGGTGTGGGGGCCAGGTCCGAGGTGCTGGATTCGACAAGGCGTTTTGCCTGTTTCAGCCTCCGGGGACTGATTCCGGGCACCGCGGGCCCTCAAAAACGGATCTGGGATGAACAATTGCACCGGATGGAATCTGGCCTTCTCATGCTTGGCCGATTCTGCCGAGGTCCATCCAGTTCAGACCCCCTGGCCGCCTCAAACTTCTGCGCCCTATCAACAAACATGCAACGTCTTGATTTTATCAAACGGGGTTCCTGGACGTTCCGACCCTTTCCCCGGGACCAGCGTTTCGTGCTGAGTCGTTTTCTGACGGTCCTTGGGCCCGGCGAGGGCCCCCAGAGGCCGCAAGTAGGACAAACCGTCCGTCGTGATTTTTCGCGCCGCCAGCATGTCTCGGTCCTTCGAGCCGCCGAGGTGGACGCCACCCAGGCCGCTGGCGCTTGGTCGCGGGCGCCGCCAGGCGCGCTCGACGGGGCGCTCGGCGAGCAGCCGGTCGGCGCCGCAGGGGGGCTGGGCGGCGCCGCCGGGAACGCGGAGGGCGCGGCGGCCGGGAGGCCGTGCGGCGCGGATAGGCCGTCAGGGGCGACGTTTCGGGCGGGGGGAATTGGGGGAACCTTGAGATCCTGGCGTTTCAATTGTTTCGCGCCGGGTGTTTTTCTTCAGGTTTGCGATCCGACGCGAAAGCTGGCACAGAAAGATGGGGTCTTCGGCTCCAGTCTATATTTTTTCGCGACGTCGGATCTCAGGGAACAGGCTCAGGGAATCTAGTTGCGCTGCCGCGCGGTTCCGCCACTGCGCTTGTGCGGGCGGGGAGGGTGGCGCCTTGGGGGGGGGCGGGGAGGGGAGGGTCCACGGACCCCCCGTTCCCCGAGCTCCGTATGTGAAATAATTGTTTTGCCAGGGAAGCCAAAAACGCAAGACTTGGCCCCCAAAAAGACGCATCCTGGGCTCAATGCGTCGCAGAAAGCAAAAGGGCCCGACGCGCAGCAACCGCTGCAAGCGCGGTGGCGGACATAGGCTCGGGGGGGGGGGGGGCGCTCGGCGAGCTGGTCGGCGCCGGCGGGGGGTGTGCGGCGGCGACGGGAGCGCGGAGGGCGCGGCGGCCAGGAGGCCGTGCGGCGCAGATCGATGAGCAAAACTGGCAACAACATAATTGTCGGAGCTCCGCGCGGACCTCTGACAGTTTATTCGATCAGAAGGGAGGGACCTACTGAAACGTCTGGAAAGGGCGCGGCAGAAACTGCGACGAGGCGGCTCGCGCTCAGGTAGCTGAAGTTCTCACGTCCTCTCGTCCGTCGCCTTCGGTTCTTCACCTGGCCGTTTCGCCCGGCACCACGGCGCTTCGGAGCGTCGTCTATGTTCGTTATCCCGGCTATGATCGTTTATGCCCGCTTCTCCCTCGCCACTCCTGCGCTCGCCCCTCATGCGCCCCAAGTGCGCGCTGACCCCCAACGTCTGGATATGCGCATTTGGAGGCGCATCTCCGAATTAGCTGGCTTAGTTCGACAGCGACCAACGCGGATTCGGCCATTCCGCCGAATCGAACGCACGTGCCATCGGTGCCACCGAGTGCCCGAAGAAAGACAGCGTTCTGTAATGTTCAGTCGGTCGTCGCTTCTACACTTGTGCAGCCGCCGTCAGCCGAGATGAACCGCCCCCCCGCCCCTTGCCACCTTGTCTAGGTAAGGGTAAGGGTATCGTTCGCGTTCGAGAGGTGCGTCCCAGTGCTGCGCCTCGCCGAAGGATTTCCAGGGCTGCCCAGATCGTCCCTAACAGCCACGGAAGACCCGAGTCATGACCCAACACCGGACGACGAGGACCATTGGCGAGGATAATCGCAGGGGGGATGCATCGCCCTCTACTTACCCACTGCTCGCCGATAAGGGCCTGATGACCAATCCCGCCCAGGACCATGCGGATGTGCAATCGGGGGCCCATCGCCTATCCATTGGCGACGCATCGCCGATTTAAGCTCGATGCTTTCCACCGTGAGCTGGACCCTCCGCTTGACGTTGCCCCTCAGGCTGGCCGCGCGCCTGGCGGCGCTGGAGGAGCTGTCCGACGCCCAGCACGACGCCCAGCATCGGCAGGATCGGATCGGGGACAATATTGGGACCGCGAGATCGTGTTCGCAAGCGCTGCCGCGCAGTGTACAGCAGGCGCATCAGATAGGGAACCAGCCCGCCAGCAGGTGCCCCGCTGAAATGTATGACCCCCCCGTTGCCCCAGGGACCCACAGAAGCTCCGGGGCACCTTGGGACCCCCAAAGATGGACGAGGAATGCGCCCCGAGATTTTTCCCAACCATCCTGTGGTGTCGGGTCCTCGTTTTGAAAAGACGTCGCCCCGCGTTCCTTCCTTCCTTCCTTCCTTCCTTCCCTCCTTCCTTCCTTCCTTCCCGCTGCCCCCTCCCTCCTCCCCCCTCCATGTCGGCACACCCCTCACACGTTTCGTGGCCCCATAGGGAGCTCCGCCGAAGGCCCCAGTGCTGCCGCCCGCATGCGTCCCGCACACCCAATTCGGCACACCCCTCACACGTTTCGTGGCCCCATAGGGAGCTCCACCGAAGGCCCCAGTGCTGCCGCCCGCATGCGTCCCGCACACCCATTCGGCACACCCCTCACACGTTTCGTGGCCCCATCATATGCCGCCGCCCGCATGCGTCCACCGCTCACACGTTTCGTGGCCCCCGGAGCTTGCTGCCGCCCGCATGCGCCCCGCACGCCCATTTCGGCACACTCCTCACACGTTTCGTGGCCCCATAAGGAGCCCCACCAAAGGCCCCAGTTCGGCACACCCCTCACACGTTTCGTGGCCCCATAGGGAGCGTCCACCGAAGGCCCCAGTGGCGGCGCCGCCTCACACGTGGCCCCGCCACCCACACGGCCCTCACAACAACAGGTTTCGTGGCCCCATAGGGAGCTCCACCGAAGGCCCCAGTGGCACCGCCCGCATGCGTCACCACCCGCACCCATTTCGGCACACCCCTCACACGTTTCGTGGCCCCATAGGGAGCTGCACCGAAGGCCCCAGTGGCGGCGCTCACATGCGTCCCCGCCACACATCCCAGTACACCCCTCACGCGCTTCGTGGCCCCATAGGGAGCTCCACCGAAGGCCCCAGTAGCGGCGCTTACATGCGTCTCCGCCACCCATCCCGGCCCCCCCCCCCGCAGCAACATCATGTTTCGGGGACCCATAAGGAGCTCCACTGGAGGCCCCAGTGGCGGCCCTCACTTGCGTTTCCGCCACCCATGTCGGCACGCCCCGCGCGTGTTTCATGTCCCCATAGGGAGCTTCACCGAATGCCCCAGTGGCACCCATCTCGGCACACCCCTCACACGTTCCGTGGTCCTATGGGGAGTTCACTGAAACCCGCAGCTGCGGTACTGACAACTGCATATGGTTGGGTTCTTCGCCAGGCTAATTGAGCTTTTTTGTCTTTGGTATCAACTGTACTGGGCATTATTCAGTGTATATTCTCGCACTCGCTCCAGTTGCGGTGCCGCGCGATTCTGCCATCGCGCTCGGGCGGTGGTAGTGGGGGGGGCGGGGCGCTGGGGGGGGAGGTGGGAAGGCCCATGGAACCCCTTGCTCCCCAACTGTTGTATTTGGGATCGCTTCAAGTGCAGGAATCTGACCACAGAATTGAACGCACTCGATATGTGGTGGGTTTGCGAACTCAATCAATGGACGTTGGACAAAATATGTGCAAGATGATTCGGGCGAAGGCTTGCGCACCGTTGTGTTATTTTTGTGCGGCTCCCACAGGAGCGGCGCGCGGAGGAGCTGTCCCAGCGCTTCGCGGCGCTGGAAGCGCTGTCCGACGCGCACCGCGTCGCGCAGGAACCCCTCAGGGCACCAGCCGCAGAAGGCGGAGGGATAACGAGGCTTAGGAGGAAGAGGAAAGCAGAAGAGGGAGGAAGGAAAACAACAGGAGAAGACAACGGAAGCAAGCAGTGCAGGCGCGGCCAGGCCGCCGCCTCAGCGCGCCCCCTGCTTTGCAGGGCACCTGCCGCACACCTGCACAGCAGGGTCGCGTCGCGAAGACGCGGCGGCGAACCCGCCGCGGGCGTTCCAGGTTGAACGCCGCCAGTGGCCCGGAAATAGCCAACACGTTCAGATCCTGGCGATCTATCTTTTCATGTGGGCGTGTTCGCCCGGTCTCGGGCCCAATGGCCTTCACTGATCGACCCGGCTCGAAAGAGGCTGCAGAAAAGAAGAGGCTCCGCGGATCCGTCGCGGTTTGTTTTTGCGATGTTTAAATTGTTTTGCAACGTCGGTATTCAACGGTCTGGCGTTGAAACAACCAGCGATCGTTCCAAGGTTGAACGATCTACGCCGTGACAGAAGCCAACGCCACCTGCGCAAATTCACGCCTGAACCGATCGCACCGATTCTGGCTGGGCAGGTCATTGGCTCGACTACATGTAGGAGTGACCCTTCGCCAGAGTGACCGTTTGTGCGGGCCCATTGGGGTCCTCCGATTACCAAACGCGATGCGATCGCAGCGGTTTGGGCGCTCGGGTGTTGCTATCCCCCCCCTTCGCGCCACCCTCTTGTGAGGCCGCGCGCCAAAGGTCACTCTTGCCCAGGGTCGCTCTTGCCCAGGGTCACTCTTGGCCCCAGACTCCCTGCCATCCGCCGATTTGATTTTTCCCAACCATCCTGTGGTGTTGGGTCCTCGTTTTGAAGAGACAATGCCCCGCTTTCCTTCCGTCCTTCCTTCCTCTCCTCCTCCCCCTCCTCCCCATCCTCCCGCGCTAATTTCGGCACACCCCTCACTCGGTTCGTGACCCCAGTGAGACCTCTTTTGAAGGCCCTAGCGGTTGCGTTCATGTGCGTCCCGCGCCCATTTCGGCGCACCCCTCACACGGTTCGTTGCCCCATCGGGAGTTCCACCGAAGGCCCCAGTTGTTGCGTTCACATGCATCCCGCACCCATGTCGGCACACCCCTCACACGGTTCGTGGTTCCATCATCGGGAGGTCCACCGAAGGCACCAGTTATTGCGTTTACATTCATCCCGCGCGCATTTCGGCACCCCTCAAACGGTGCATGGCCCCATAGGGAGCTCCACCAAAGGCCCCAGTTGTTGCGTTCACATGCATTCCGCGACGATTTCGGCACACCCCTCACACGGTTCGTGGCCCCATCTGCAGTTCCACCGAAGACGCCAGCGGATGCGTCCACATGCGTCCCGCACACATTTTGGCACCCCTCACGCGGTTCGTGGCCCAATACAGATCTCCAACTACGGCCCCGGTGGTTGCGTTCACGTGCGTCCCGCGCCCATGTCGGCACACTCCTCACACGGTTCGTGGCTCCATTATAGGGAGCTCCACCGAAGGCCCGAGTGGCTGTGTTCATATGAGTCCCGCGCCCATTTCGGCGCACCCCTCACAGGGTTCGTGGCTCCATCGGGAGCTCCACCGAAGGCCCTAGTGGTTGCGTTCACATGAGTCCCGCGCTCATTTCGGCACAACCCTCACGCGGTTCGTTGCTAATCATAGGGAGGCCCACCGAAGGCCCGAGTGGCTGCGCTCACATGAGTCCCCCGCCCATTTCGGCACACCCCTCACACGGTTCGTGGCTCCATCAGGAGCTTCACCGAAGGCCCCAGTGGTTGCATTCACATGCGTCCCGCGCCCATTTCGGCACACCTCTGAAGCAGAGGAAGCGCCACCGAAGGCCCCAGCGGTTGCGTTCACATGCGTCCCGCGCCTATTTCGGCACGGGCCAATTGGAAAGCCCGAGCGGCTGCGTTCACATGCGTCCCGCGCCAATTTCGGCACACCCCTCACTCGGTTCGTTGTCCCTCATAGAGAGCTCCACCGAAGGCCCCAGTGGTTGCGTTCACATTGGTCTCGTGCCCATTTCGGCACCCCTCACTCGGTTTGTTGTCCCACAGGGCCCCGAGCCCTAGTGGTTGCGTTCACATGCGTCCCGCACCAATCTCGGCACAGGCACACACCTCACACGGTACGTTGCTCCATAGGGAGGGAGCTCCACCCACGGCCCCAGTGGTTGCGCTCACATGCGTCCAGTCCCGCGCCCATTTCGGCAAATCTATCAGACGCTTCGTGGCCCTGACACGTTTCGGGGCCCCATAGGGAGGTCCACCGAAGGCATCAATTTCCGATTCCACTTCTTGGAGGTGTATGTTTTTGGGTATTCTCCAGCAGCTGCGGCTCGTCGAGAGCCTTCCAGGGGTGCCCAAATCGTCGTCCCGAATGATCGCCAGATGCCCGAGCTCTTCGAGCTCTTGCTTGAAAGCCGTCGAGGAAGGTCAAGGCCTACTGGTGGCCTCGGTGGGCCTCGTGGGTGCGTCTGGAGTCCTGCATACTCTTCCGTCGGAGGCCGTCGGAGTTCGACCATTGTCGTCGTCGTCGTCGTCGCCGTCGCCGTCGTCGGCCGAGTCATCCTCCTCGTCGTCGTCGAGAACGGTTTTTTATGGCTCATCCAGGTAAGCCCCCCCTGGCGCCTCCGAGTCCTCGTCGTCCAGAGGTCGGGGAGGCACCCGGCCGTCTCCCTCGCGGTACTCGCAGCTGCATATGGTTGGGTCCGTCGTCAGGTTACTTTCTTTGCGCGGGCCAGGAAGACCCGACCGCTTCCCACGGGGCGGCTTCGCATCCCTGATCCAGTGTTGATCACCCCGGGGCCTGAAAACAGTATTCAGAGGCCAAGATCCAGGAAATGACGCCGATTGGGAAAACCTTGTCGTCGGAGATCCGGGCTGGCTGGGCCCAGCCAGGATCCGTGTGGGTGCCGCAGACTTGGAGAATGTGTCCCAGGAGCGGCGTGCGGAGGGGCTGTCGCAGCAGCTGGAGCGACAGCTCGCCGCCGCGGCGTGCGGCGCCGGGGAGCTGGAGTCGTGCCAGGCGGAGCCGTCTTCGGCGGCGAAATCCGAGCCCCAGCCTCGCCGACCAACGTCTCAGGCAACTCGATGGGCGGCGTGGGTAGGGTTGGGAATTCGTCGGAACACGTAGCGAAATTCGAACCTTAGGTACCCCCGCCTCCCATCGATTCAGGAGAATCGATGATTCGTGGGGGGTAGGGTTCAGATTTCGCCACTTACGCTTACGATGCGATTCGATGCGGTTCGATGCGCTGGCTGGGGCCGCGATTCCGATCCGATTCGGCTCGGACCGTTTCACTGGCACCGGCTGGTGCCAGTCAGAGCATGGCGTGGCGATCCGAGTCGGGACGATTCGCTGGCGCCCTAAGATCCGAAGTTGTGAAAAACTGCCAGAACACTGTAGACTCTAGACCCCAATTTCTTGCGGTATTTTTCGAGCCGGATCGACCTGTGATGGTCCCGTGGCCCGAAATTTGGCGCAGTTCTCCCGGTGCGAAAACGTTGCAGCGCCCGGATCTCAGAGTGCCGATCCGATACGATGTGTCCAGGCCTCCCCAATGGTGTCCGAGCAGATAGGGTCGGAGGCTCGCGCCGTAACGCCGATGCATTGGCGATGGGGCTCGAAAAGGAGCCCAGTTGTCTTCACGCCCCGGCGCCGATGCATCGCCGACGTCGCCGGTGCATCGCCAATGCATCGGCGATGTATCGCCGATGCATCGGCGATGCGGCGCGATCCTCCGACCCCATCTCCTCCGTCCCTAGGAGGACTCGAATTTCGCGATTCGGTTCAACTCGTGACCGCCAGGCCGCGCTCTCGGCGCTGCGCGACCGCGTGGACGCCCTGTGCACCCAGACGGACCAGCAGCTGCAAGGCCTCCAGCGGCACGTCGACGAGTTCTCGCGGGTGGTCGCCGACGGCGTGTCGGGCCAGGAGGCCCTGCACTGGCAGCTGGAGGCGCGGTCTCAGGAGCTCCAGGAAGAACAAGCGGCGTGAGCGCAGATGTTCGGAGGTCCGCGCGCATTTCTCGCATCTGCGCTGGAACCTCCTCCTCGGCGGCACCTCCTGCGCCCTCCGGCGCGCTCTGGCGCGCCTGGGTGCGGGGGGGCGGGGGGGGGATCGAGTGCAGTTCCAGAAAATCCGCACGGAGTTCCGAGAGATATGTTTGCGCGCTTATTCTGCCATCGATTTTTATCTCCTCTGGCGCGTCCAAGTCGTTACCCTGCCCTCCCCCGCCCCCTGGTGCACGTAACGACCTTACCTGGGGGGGATGGACCCCCCTCAACATGCTGGTTCTCGCGCGCGAGCTCCGTGGCGGTCGCAGCGCACCCCCACCCCGATGTGCAGTATTGCTGTTATATGCAGCCCCCTCCTGGGTAGCAACAGTTAATGGACACTCTTTGCAAAGTATGTTTGGAAGGAACAGACGGCGCGGCTCGAGGAGGTGGCGCGTGCCCAGGCCAACCTCGGGGAGCTCTGCGCCGGGGCCGTGGAACTGAGCAAGGCGCTCGAGGGCCGCGTGGGCACGCTATGGGAGACGCTCGCCGAAGGGGCCGCGCTTGGGCCGCGGCTCGAGAAGCTTGAGAGTGCCGTGGGGGAGCAGGCGCAGGAGGTGGCCCGAGCCCGGGCCGCCGACGGCGGCCTCCTCGACGGCGTCCGCGGGCGCGTGCAGACGCTGGAGGGCTCCGTGCGCGACGGCGCCTCGGCCTGCGCCGCGCTGGAGAGGCGGCTGGACGCGCTCGAGGCGGCGGCGGAGGACGGCGCGCCGCAGGCGGAGGCTGTGGAAGCGCTGGCCCAGCGCGTCGAGGAGCTCGGCAGGGGCCAGGCGAGGTGCTCCAGCGGCCAGGGCCAGCTCGCCGCCGAGGTCGGCGCCCTGGCGGACCAGGTCGGCGCCCTGCGGGAGCAGCTGCAGGCGCTCGCCGCGGACGAGCGGCAGACGAGCGAGGGCCTGAGCCATAGGCTGCCGGCCCTGGAGGCGCGCGTGGTGCTCGCGGAGGAGGCGGGCCGCGGCGCGGCGCGCGCCGCCGAGCGGGCGGCGGAGGGCCTGGCGCGGGGAGAGGCGCCCTCGGAGCAGCTGCGGGAGCTCTCCTCGCGCCTGGACGGCCTCAGCCGGGCGGGGCAGCTGGGCCAGGCGGCCTGGGAGCAGGGGCTGGAGAAGGTCGCGGAGCTCGCCGCGTGCGCGGAGTCCCAGGCGCAGGAGCTGAGGCGCCTGCACGACCAGACGGCCGGCTGCCACCGGTGGGAGCAGGAGCTGAGAGCGCTTGACTCGCTGGTGGCGAGCGGCTTCGGGCGGATGGAGGAGAGGGTCGAGTCGTCGGGTGAGCGCGTCGCATCGATCCAGGCGGACTTTGGAAGGGCATCCGCCGAGCTCCAGCGGCTGCGAGACGAGATGGGCTGGTGCGTCGCGGCGCGGGAAACCCTCGCGAGGGTGGAGCACCTGGCCAACGAGGCCCTCCGCATGGGGCAGCAGGCGGTCGTAGAGACCAGGCAGGCCGCCTCCCAGAACGAGGAGGCGTCGACGGAAATCAGGGCGTGCGTCGAGGTGCTGACGGAGGGGCTGGCCACGGAGGCACACTGCCGGGAGGAGGCCGCGCGTAGCATGGAGGCAAAGTACATCCGCCTCCAGGAGCTCGTGGCCGATCGGGAGTCCAGGTCGGCCCAGGACGTCCTCTCCTCCCGGGCGACCCGGGCGATCGCGGAGCAGCAGATGGAGGCCGTGATGAGCAGGATCGAGCTGTGCGAGGAGCAGATCCAGGGCAGCGCCCAGAGGGAGCAGACCAGGCTCAAAAACTTCAGGGACTTTGCCGGCGCCCTCGGCGACGTGCGGAGCGAGGTGGAGGAGCTCCGCGCGGACCTGTCGCGGCAAGGCCAGCGGCCAGCCCTGAACGGGAGCCTGTCGGAGACAGTCAAGCCCCAGGCGATGTGGCTGCAGCGAGTGCATGTCACCAGCGGCACCGAGCCCGACGCCGACGCGCGCCTGGAGCCGCCCCGCGACCAGTGGGCCGCACACGCGCATCCCGCGGCCGTGCACCAGTCGGCGATCACGCCGCTGCAGCACCACCGCGCACCCGCGCGGGCCTGCGCTGCGCAGCCACAGTGGCCCGACCGCAGCAGCGGCGTGACCGTGTACCCGCTCGGCCGCGCCGCGGCGGCGCCGCTGCCCCTCGAGGCCCCGCCCGCCGCGGCGGCGCTCGACGCGGCCGCGTCGGGGGCGCTGGGCGGCTTCTTGGACCGCGCGGGCGCGGCGCAGCGGCAGCCGCAGCTCGACCCGGTCGTCGCGGGCGGGTCGCCCCCGCGCCAACGAATGGCGGTGCCCATCGAGCGGGTCGCCTCCGCGCCCGCGCTGGGCCGCGCCGCGGCGCCGGGCCCCGCTCCAGCGGATCGCTCCCTGTCCCCCGAGGGCATCCGCCTGCAAGGAGCGAGGGCCTGTCCAAGTCCACGGGGAAAGGGTGGCGAGGAAGCACAGGGTGTTCCAAGAACCTCTTCTGGAGAGACCGTTTTTTTTCAACATATCGGCTTAACGCTCTAAGAGAACACCCGCTTGCTCTAAGAACAGGACGTAGGAGGCTTATGAGAATGCCTGGACGGCCGCCCCCTGCTCAACAAACATGGATTAAGGCGCTTGGATTAGCGACGGGTCCCGCTTCCATGAAATTCGATCAGGCGGCGCTGGCTTCACGTTTCGCCCCAATCCGAGGATCTGGCGCCCGTGCGCCAGATCCACGGATCCGAAATCCATGTCAAACGTGTGCCCGAGAGTCGACCCTCCTCCACTCCACTTCTCGATCCCCCTCTCGATCCTCATCCTCTTCTTCGTCTTCCCCCCACCACTTCGACAGCACTCGGCCACGCGCAGAGAGGGGTAGGGGGAGGGGTGACAGCTTCTTAGAAAGAAGGCGCGGGCCTTGTCTGTAGATGTAAGGCCCGCGCCTTCTAAGAAGCAGCCTCCTTCCAAGAAGCCGTCCCCCTCCCTACCCCCTTATGCGCGCTGCCGAAGCACGTAACTAGCATAAAATGTGGCGCAGGGTAGGCGGCCTTCTGTCGAGGCAGGAGGCCTCTCACAGGCCCACCCGCCCTCCAAGAGAAGCTTTTTGGGGAAGACTCTGGGTCCCTGTGAGAATCGGCCCCATGCCTTCTCGGACGGCCACCCCCCGCCCACCAAGGGGAAGGAGCAGGGAGTGAGGGGAAGCGGGGGAACGAGGGGGAGGAGGGGGATCAGGACGCGGACGGGGAGGAGGAGGAGGACGAGATGGATGTGCAGGAGGAGGAGGAGGAGAAGGAGGAGGAGGGGAAGGAGGAGGAGGAGGAGGAGGAGGAGGAGGAGAAGGAGGAGGAGGAGAAGGAGGAGGAGGAGGAGGGGGGAGGAGATGGAGGACGAGGAGACGGAGGAGGAGGAGGAGAAGGAGGAGGAGGATGTCGGCCCCACCGCTGGGCGCGATCCTCGATGCGTGGGCGCCTCGGGCGCTGGGAGGCGCTGGGAAAATATGCGAATTAAGTGAGCTGAATCGGCTCCCTTTTGACCTGCCACCTGCTGTGTGCCCTCATCCGACCACGAGGGGATCAGGGCGAGTCTCGCCGTTCCCTTCCTCCCCCACCCCGACAGACCAACAGACAGCTCCGACAGACTCGACCCGACTTGCCCGCCACCCGCGTTGGGTCCCGACCGCCCATGGACCCAATTGTTTCTCGCGCTTCAAGAGGGCGCCCGAACCCACCTGAGTCGCCTGGTCCAGCGGTGAGTACGACCGGCCCGGATGTTCCAGGGCCTGCGCTCCCTGGGCGTCCGACACCGTGGTTTTTGTTCAGCGCGTGGCCGCCCAACCTCTCGGCCCTTTGCACGGGATCGGTGTCTTATCCTCCATCATGTTTGGCTGTCTCAGGGCCTGAGAAAGGCCTCTCGACGCTGACGATATCGAGACACATTACATTCTAGGCGCAGCGCTGGCGGTCGCAGGGCGCGGTCGGAGCCTACGCGGGGCTGCTGCAATCCGAATTGTACACAAGCGCGGGAGGCAGATAGACCATCAATTACATTTGGTTTGTCAACAATGCGAGTGTAATGCTTCATCGGGTAACAGTACACTCGATAGTCTCGAATCGCTGGATGCCTGTGGGTCATGTTTTTCTGGAAGGCGTTGCATTTTTGAGGCCCCCGTTTCTCTGGTTGCCCTTATGTCGAACACAGAGGCCAGCGTCGACCCCCGGGGTCTGTCTACGGGCGCGTTCCGACCAGAACGTCAAACCAGAAGCGCGTGTCGCCGAGGGCGCCCCAGGGGGGCCCACAGGCCCCAGGACCTCGAACAGCCTCGAGTCCTCGGTCGTTATCTCGCTGGCCGCCCTCGGGAGGAAGTGGGGCGGTCGCGGGCCGGATTCTCAAGAGTTGCCCCGCGCGCGGGGGCTCTCGTTGCTCCTGAGTTGTATTTTCCACGCAGAAGAAGGCAGGGCCGCCGCGCGCGCGGCGGCTGACGGCCCTCACGAGCCGCCGTGCGCTCGCCAGTAGGGCCTTAGCCGCCGCGCGCGCGGCGGCCCTGTTCTCATCAGCATGGTCAAATGCAAGCCTAGACACGAAGAGCCGCCGCGCGCGCGGCGGCTCTTGACCCCCCCCCCCTCCCACGTCCACCCCCCGCCCCGCCCCCCCCAGCCGCCGCGCGCGCGGCGGCCCTGCCCACGTCTCGGGAGCACCACGAGCCGCAGCCTGCGCGGCGGCTCTTCGGCTCTTGATGGCCCCGAGCCGCCGCGCGCGCGGCGGCCCTGCCTCCTTCTGCGTGGAACATACCACTCGGGAACACCAGCGGCAGCCGCGCGCGCGGCAACTCTTGAGAACCCCCTCTGCCGCCGCGCGCGCGGCGGCCTTGTTTTCTTTCCTTGCGGGGGAAATGCGGCTCGGGACCGCCAAGAGTTCCACCGAAGGCTCCAGTGGCAGGGTCCGCAAGCGTACTCAGGTCCACTTCGGCGAACACCTCACACGCTTCGTGGCCCCGTAGGGAGCTCCACCGAAGGCTCCAGTGGTAGGGCCCACATGCGTTGCACCCCTCACACGCTTCGTGGCCGCATAGGGAGCTCCAGCGAAGCCTCCAGTGGCAGGGTCCGCATGCGTGCTCGGGTCCGTTTGTGCACACACCTCTCACGCTTCGTGGCCCCATAGGCAGGTTCACCGAAGGCTCCAGTGGCAAGGTCCGCATGCGTACTCGGGTCAACTTCGACGAACACCTCCCACGCTTCGTGTCCCCATCGGTAGCTTCACCGAAGGCTCCAGTGGCAGGGTCCGCAGGCGTACTCGGGTCCATGTGGGTACACCCCTCACACGTTTCGTGGCCCCATCGGGAGCTCAACCGAAGCCTCCAGTGGCAGGGTCCATATGCGTACTCGGGTCCACTTCGGCGCGCCCCTCGCACGTTTCGTGGCCCCACAAAGAGCTCCACCGAAGGCTCCAGTGGCAGGGTTCGCGTGAAGCTCCACCGAATGCTCCAGTGGCAGGGTCCGCACGCGTGCTCAGGTCCGTTTGGGAACACCCGTCACGCGCTTCGCGGCCCCATAGAGAGCTCCACCATGGAGCTCCACCGAGGGCTCCAATGACAGGGTTCGAATGCGGCCTTTGGTTCATGTCGGCTCACCCGTCACGCGTTTCGTGGCCCCATATGGAATGACATGTGAAGGCCCTAGTGGGACAACGCGTATGCGGCCACCCCGCTATTTCAGCACACTCCTCACACATTTCGTGGGCCCATAGGTGGCTTCACCACCAGACCCTCTAAGTTCGAAGCAATCCCAATCCTTGACCACGAGCAATGCTCGCGTGTTCTTGCTCTGCGGTTTTTGCCATCGCTACCGTCCTTCGAGGTTGCCCATCGGGTCCTTTTAACAAATATCATCACCCACACTGTCGGACGGCAATTCTCTATTGGTGGCAGAAGAAGCCCACCTGCCAGGCTTCCTTTAAATTTCGCAAATCCGACGCATCATTACCGAGCGTTCCGGCCCTGATGTGAGGTTGCCCATCGGGCCCCCCGAGCATTCCCGAATCTTGACCACGAGCATTGCTCGCGTGCCCTTGCTTTGCGGTTTGTGCTATCGTTACCGTCCTTGTCGGTTGCCCATTGTGCCCTCTAACAAATGTCATCACGTAATGTATCGACAAGTCCCTACCAGTGGCAGCACACATGCCTGGCTTTCTTCGCAATGCGCGAGTCTGACGCATCACACTGAGGCGTACGGCCCTGAGGTGAGTTTGGGCCTTCTAATCACTCGCGATTCTTGACCACGAGCAATGCTCGCGTGCCGTTCCTCTGCGGCTTGTGCCATCATTACCGTCCGTCGTGGTTCCCCATCGGGCCCTGTAACAACGATCGTCACGCATTTTGTCGGCTGGCAGCTGTCTACCGCGAGCGTATCCCATGTACCCACGTGCCACGCGAGTGCAACCCATGTGACTTGCACAACATGTCACGGCGTCTGCACTGTCATTTTCCGGGCAAGTTTGGGTGAACTCCTTTTGTCCTTTGATGCAGATGTTGGGTACGCCACAGGATACGTTTGTCCCCGGGCCCGTTGAAGGCCTCTGGGGGCCGAAAATGTCCCAAAACAGGCCGCTCCAGTTTTTGGGGGCCTCGGTCTTTGGGTTCGTCGGAGGAGAGCTTCTTCGAGCATCGATCCTCGATTCTCGACGGCTCTTCGGGCGCCCCGAAAGGAAGAGGGGCCACCCAGCCCGCGGTCGCGTGGGAGGCCCGCGTCTTCGCGCCGCCGCGGGGCATCATCGCGCGGGCCCCGGCAGCGGCGGCGGCGCCATAATTGGCGACTCGCCCTGTATTGCGGCTGGGGTTCGCTGCGGTGGAAAACCGAGGATGGATAGCAAGAGGAGTCATATGATGGGGCGGCGGGATCTGTACACACCCACGGACGTAGGCCAAGCCCATCCTGGGCCCAGGAAAGGTGTGCATGCCTCCCTGGCCAAGCCGGGGGGTATAAATCGAGTCTGCACCGCTCCTGAGCCCAGGATGGGCCTGGCCAGCGGCGGGGGAGCTGTGTAGGTCTCGTCGATTGATATGAAGAGGAGGAGGGCGAGGCGGCGGAGGCTCAGGCCCTGGAGGGCGCTTTCGCTCGCCCCCCCCCCCCGAGAGCGACGGGCGGCCCCCCCCCCCCGCCCCACGACGCAGAGCGACGCGCTATCAGCTCGTGCGGCGTGGAGTATCGCAGGGGCCGCCGCCGCGACATGCCGAGCAAAAGTGCTCGACCGTTGCAGACGGCGTGAGCAAACGCTTCTTTGGGGGGGCGCGCCTGTGCCCTCGCGGCGCGTGGCCCCGGGCCGCCGCCGCGTGCTGTGGTGGCGCGCCCATTTCCGTGGTCTTCCTCTCGTCGGGCCGTGTGTCGTCCCAGACGTGCTGGCGCTGCAGAGTAATCGCGACCGTCTTCGGCCTTCGGGAGTCCTCGCCTGTCCCCGGGACCGTCACAAAACCAGCTCGGCATGGAGCGTCCGCCTTGGGAAAATGGTCTGGATTTCTGCGGGGCCCGTATTGAACAAATCTGGACATCGGATGTCTGGATTTGTGCCTCCTCCCCCACTGCCGCTGGGCTTCGCACCGACGGGGAGAAAATTGTCCAGGAGGGGTTCCGTGGCCGGTTTTTGAGCGAGAGTTGAGGGGAGGGCTTGAGGGAGGACCCTTAGAGGCCTCCTATATGTTCCTGCCTACATGTTCGTCTTCGCCCTTCCTCCTCCCTGATCTGATCGTCTCCTCTTGCTGCTCCTCTGCTGCTGCCTCTTCGTCTGCAGCACTGAGGATCAAAACATTCCAGCTCTGCACGTTGTCTGCTAAACACGGCTTGCGTGCACCACAAAGGCACGTTTCAGTGTATCTGTCCACTATATTCACCCAGTCAAGCACCATTATTCGCGTCTCTCGTCAGTATGGCGCATGTGACCGAGGTCCGGGCGATCATCAAGAACACGTTCTTGGAGTTCATCGGGGGGGAAGCCCCTGCCGTTGCTGACAGTGGCAGGTGCCGGGCCAATTCCTGCCCTTGCATTCGCGAGCGTGAAGCTCCCATCGATGACGGCTACAGCGAAGGCGACTCATCCGCGTGCCCGAAGCTCAGCAGTCTCGGCAGCTGGGCTGACATCAGCGAGACAGAGGAGGAAGATTGCTTCAGCTGCTGCGCCTCCACTGACCTCAAGTTCTGGTCCCCCTCCGGTGCGGAGGACAAGACGCCATCAAAGACAGGACATGCCCTTGTGCAACTGCCCGGCAGCAATCGCACGCCTCTCAGCAGCAAGGCCTCGGCATTTGTCCCCACGCCTCTCAGCAGCAAGGCCTCGGCGTTCATACCAGGCGCCGGCGCGCCCAAGCAGGCCAACTGCTCTCAAGGACAGGCCTCAGCTCCTTGCGCCGCACAGGTGCCGAGCGTTCTTCAGAAGGACACTACGGCGCTCATGCGCAACTTGCCGTCTGACTTGTCGCGCGGCATGCTGATCAAGGAGATGAAGAAGAAGGGATTCGCTGGACTCTACGACTTCGTGCATTTTCCCTTGGATGTTCGTTCCAAGAAGTGCTTGGGCTATGCGTACGTCAACTTGACCAATATGGAGCACATGCGGCGCTTCACCAGTGTCTTCCACGGCTTTAAAGGCTGGCCTGTCTCGTCTTCGAAGGGCTGCTCCATTGCGTTCAGTCAGGCGATAGGCTATTCCACCAATGCCGGGCAGTCTGGGAGCAAACGTGCAACGGGCGAGGCGCTGCGCGACATCTCCAAGGAGATCTCCGCCCCGAACTCCACCACGGAGTCGTCCAAGGTCGGGGGACGCCGATATTACACCTGCACCGATCCTGACCCATGACAGCCCTGGGCCCAGGATCGGTGCATCTGCCTTCCTGGCGAAGTATGCACGGATTCTGAACTCGGGATGCGCTTGCTCATGGCAAGAGTAAATCAGTGTCAGGAGGGCAAGAAATCTTTCACCGTTCCTTGGTGCGTCACTCTGGTATTTTGTTTCCAAACCATATTGTGGTGTTGGGTCGTCGTATTGAAGAGACAGCGCCCCGCGTTTCTCACTCCTCACTGCTCCTTCCTCTTCCTCCTCCCTCCTCTCACCACTGTCTCGGCCCTCCGCATGTTTTTGTTTCGGCACACCGCTCACACGCTTCGCGTCCCCATAGGGAGCTCCACCTAGGGCCCCAGTAGCTGCGTTCGCATTGCACCACCGCGCCCGTGTCGGCACACCTCTCAAACATTTCCTAGCCCTGTGAGGAAATCCTCCGAAGGCCCCAGTGGCAGCGCCTGCATGGCACCAGCGCGCCCACTTCGGCACACCACTCACACGTTCCGTGGCCCCGTAAAGAGCTCCACCGAAAGCAGTCGGTACCCCCACAATGCGGTATTCAGAATTTGAAGTGCATATGGTTAGGTCTTTCGCCAGGATAATTTCAATCCGCGGCCCCAAACCATTCGGCCGCCTGCCCGGGGGTAGTTTCTCGCATTGGGTATGTGTTTGATGGCCTTGTGGCCCAGACACCGGCCCCAGAGGCCGAAATCTGGGAAAATCAACGGGATTGCAACAATTATATCGCCAAAGGTGTGGGTCTGAGGCGTCCCCCTGTAAGGGTAGGCGCAGGCTGTAGACGCGCGCTGGCTCTTGGTGCCTCTGTGAGAGACGGCTTCCGCATGTCCCTCCTCAGCCGTGCCCCCTCCAGCCTGGGAGGCCACGTCGGGCGCCTGGGGGTCTCTTTTTCAGCCAGTGGCAGACGCGCTCGCGCTGCACACTCGCGCTGTACACCCCCTACACGGCCCCTAATCGCCTGGTCATTGCCGATAGGGGGGCTTGCCGATCCCGCTGAGGAGTGGGTGGTTTCGCTACCGGGGCTAATCGCCCCTTTATGGGTGATGTATCGCCGGCTCCAGGTCGATGCTCCCCCCCCCAGAGCGGGTACTTCTTTTCTCGTTCCACCTCGCTCCTCCCGTCCCTTCCCCAGACTTCCTCACGTTGTGATTGTTTCTGCGATGGAAGGCTTCCGGAAATTCTGGGCCTCGGGGGAGCCCACGCGGGCCTGGGGGCCCTGACAAAAATGGTTCAGGATGAAGAGTTGTTCCCAGGGAAGGGGTCGAGACCTCCAGAGGTCCACGTGATGAAGGATGATGACGACGGAGGTCTGGGCTCTTCTTTTCCTGATCCCCCTCCCCCTCTCCCCTTCTTGCTGCTGCTTCTGCTCGTCCTCCTCCTGATCAGCCCTTCAAGGGTCCGCGCTGCATACAACCTCCTTCTCCTGATCCTCCTGATCCTCCTACTCCTCCTCCTCCTCATAATCATCATCATCATCATCATCCTCCTCCTCCTCCTCATCATCATCATCATCATCATCATCATCATCATCATCATCATCATCATCATCATCATCATCATCATCATCATCATCATCATCATCTCTTCATCCTACTGTCTGCGTCCTCCTGCTCCTGCTAGCCCTCTCAGAATCAGGGGGCTCGTCCTAGACCTCCTCCGTCGCAGAGTGAGCGTTTCGCCCGAGGCGCTGGTTGCGCGCCTCCTTTGAATCGAGCGCGCTACCCTTTTGAGCTCAGGACCTCTAAGGTGCTTCGAGTCGGGCGCGACTGTTTCGAATCGGGCAGTTTGAACCGCGCCTGGTTTGAAATCGGGACGCGTGGACTTACATACTCGTGATCTGTACCTGGCGCAGGCATCCATATGAAACTCAGCCAGACGCACATCTGCGCACGGCCCGTACAAACTCCCATTGCTTCTCCTCCTCCCGCTTCTTCTCCTCTTCATCCTCTTTCTCATCTCCTCTCCATGTCTTGCGTCAGCTGTCCTCCCAAACGTCTCCTCCCGCTGATGGTCTTCTCCGCGCAGAACTCCGAAGTGTGACTTTATCTGAGTTTGTGCTATCCTCCCGGAGTGTCTTTCGCCATCTGTAGTGACGCTCTCGTTGCGGCGCTCTCCACACTTGAGATAAAAGTTGGTATTCCGTCTCTCTGGATAAACATTTGGGCGTCGCGTCTGGCATTCCCGTGTATGAGTTTGACAACGACAGGTTTCAAAGGACGTTGCTCCCCAAGTAGTGTCTGCAATAGGGGGTTCTGTGTCCTCTTTAAAGGAATTGCTGGAATGCCCAGATTTTCGCCTAGTGGCCGCGCGTGGTCACCTGGTGTCTTCCCCGCGTGCTTCTTACCCCCTCGTCGTAGTCCCCCCCCCCCGATCGAGGCTATAGAAGACGCGAAGAAGGCGCTGGCCAATTATGACAACAACCAAATCGAGGGCCACTGGGTGGACTCGTCATCCTACCCTCCCGTTCCTCTTCCTCCGCTTTCCCGTCTACGTTCCTTTCTCTTTTTCTCCTGCTGCTGCTGCTCCTCCTCCTCCTCCTCCTCCCCCTCCTCCTCCTCAGCTTCCTCATCCTCTCCCTCCTCCACATTCCTCCGCAAAACCATGGTCCTTCCTTTCGTTATCCTCCTGACCTCCCTTCCCTCCTCCCCGCAATCCTTTCCTTCCCCTCCTCTTCGTTCTGATTCGTTCAAATCCTCCACCCTCTGCGTGTTCATGATCCTCTCGCTCCTGTGACTCCTTCCCCTCGTCCACTTTGGGTCCATCCTCATCCTCACCACCCTCATTTGCGTCCCACTGATCGCGTCTGCCCATCCTCCCATGTTTCCTCCCGCTGTTATCCCCTCCTCCTTCCTCAGGCCTCCCCAGGGACTTCCAGAGGACTGCCTGTGCGCTGTGGAGAACATGAGATTAATGGATCACGACCACGACGACGACCGCGACGACGATCACGAGACGACGACCACTCGACGATGACGAGGATGTGTTCCTGACGTATGTCAAGGTCCCCGGAGTTATTCTGAAGCTTTTGGAAGCACAGCAACAAAAACACTAACACGCTCGAACACCTCGAACCCCGAAGCTCGGTACGCCTCGATCCTCCAACCTCAGGGCCTTGATCCTCGGTGCCCTTTGTTCTACCAAATCTCCAGTCCAGGTCCCTTCGGTTCCCGAGCGAAATAAAATTAGCCTGTCGAAGGACCCAACCATATGCAGTTCTGAATACTGCAGTTGTAGGTCTCGTCTTCGGTGGAGCCCCGTTGTAGGGCCACGAAACGCTGCACCGGGCGGGGGAGACGCATGCGGACTTCGCCACTGGGACCCTCGGTGGAGCTTCCTATGGGGCCACGGAACGCTGGACTGGGAGTGGGAGGCGCATGCGGGCCTGCGCCACTGGGACCTTCGATAGAGCTCCCTATGGGGCCACGAAGCGCTGAACTCGGTGGGAGAGACGCACGCGGGCTGCGCTCCTGGGACCGTCGGTGGAACTCCCTACGGGGCCACGGAGCGCTGTACTGGGTGGGGGAGACGCGCGCGGGCTGCGCCACTCAGACCTATGTGGTGGAACTCCATATGGGGCCACGAAGCGTTGTACTGGGTGTGGGAGACGCATGCGGGCTTCGAAACTGAAACGGAGGTCCCAATGGGACCACGAAGCGTTGTACTGGGTGGGGGAGGCGCATGCGGGCTGCGCCACCTGCGAGGCCACGAAACGCTGTACTGGGTGGGGGAGACGCATGCCGGCTGCCTCACTGGGACCTTCTGTGGAACTCACTATGGGGCCACGAAGCGTTGTACGGGGTGCGGCGGACGCATGCGGGCTGCGCCACTGGGACCTTCGGTGGAGGGGCCACGAAGCGCTGTGCTGCTGTGTGTGTGTGTGTGTGTGTGGTGTGTGTGTGTGTGTGTGTGTGTGTGTGTGTGTGTGGGTGGGGGGGGGGGGGGGCGCGTGCGTGCGTGCGTGCGTGCGTGCGTGCGTGCGTGCGTGCGTGCGTGCGTGCGTGCGTGCGTGCGTGCATGCGTTCGTGCGTGCGTGCGTGCGTGTGTGTGGTGCGTGCGTGCGTGCGTGCGTGCGTGCGTGCGTGCGTGCGTGCCTGCGTGCGTGCGTGCGTGCGTGCATGTGTGCGTGCGTGAGTGCGTGCGTGCGTGCGTGTGTGTGTGGGGGAGACGCATGCGGGCTGCGCCATTGGGACCTTCGGTGGAGCTCTGTTCGGGCCACGAAGCGCTGCACTGCTTGCGGGGAGACGCATTCGGGATGCGCAACTGGAACCTTCGGTGGAGCTTCTTATGGGGCCACGAAGCGCTGTACTGGGTGTGGGAAACGCATTCGGGATGCGCAACTGGAACCTTCGGTGGAGCTTCTTATGGGGCCACGAAGCGCTGTACTGGGTGGGTAAGACGCACGCGGGCTGCGCCACTGGAACCTTCGGTGGAGCTCCCTACGGGGCCACGAAGCGCTGTAATGGTTGGGGAGACGCATGCTTGCTGCGCCACTGGGACCTTCGGTGGAGTTTCCTGTGGGGCCACGAAGCGCTGTACTGGGTGAGGGAGACACATGCGGGCTGCGCCACTGGGACCTATGGGGACATGAAGTGCTGTATTGGGTGGGGGAGACGCATGCGGGCTGCGCCACTGTAACCTTCGGTGGAGCTCCTTATGGGGCCACGAAGCGCTGTGCTGTGTGTGGGAGACGCATGCCGGCTGCGCCACTGGGACCTTCGGTGAAGCTCCCTACGGGGCCACGAAGCGCTGTACTGGGTGTGCCGAAACGAATACACGCAAAGGGCACAGGCAAAGAGGGGGAGGAAGGAGGAGGCGGGAGGAAGGAGGCGGGAGGAACGCCTCTTCAAAACGAAGACCCAACAACAGGTTGGTTGGGAATTGCGGGGACGTGCGTAACCCTTGTCTAGCCCGAGTCGACTATATCCATGACCGCCCCATATAACAGGACATATTTTTCGATCTGCAGTGCCTTTGACCGCCTTGCTAAATAACGCCGAGCCACCGTCAAATGTTCCCATGCGCAGCATCACCCCCGCGACTTACATCATGGACAGGGAGGCGATCACGAGCAGGCGAAGGAACAAGAGTGACGGGCGGCAGAAACATAGACAGGAGGTTTACGTCGGGAGATGATTAGTGAGAGTAGCAGCGCCACGCGCTACATTCCACTTTTCGGAACGACGCCATGCACGATATAACCAGAGCAAGGCAATGGTCCGAGTGGCGCACGATTCCGGGGGGTCAGGTCTACGGAAGCCCCCCATGGAGATGCGAGGCGCAGTCTGAATGCGCGTAAAACACCACTCCGCGGGGCCCCCCAGTAGCCAGCGGAATTCATTTCAATGTCGCAATTCGCGGTTTAGTCTGGATGTCTGTGAGACACCACCCCGTTGGCCCCCACGGAGCCCTCGAAAGGCGCGACAGTTTCGCAGTAGCCCCACAGGGAGCCGAAAGACCCAGTCTGGATGTGCCTAAGACGTCACCCCGCTGGGGCCCCCCAGGAGCCCGCGACGTTGGTTCGCAGATGGCACCTAGCTCACCAGGAATCCGCGAGGTCCAGTGCGTAAGACACAACTCCGCTGGTCCCCAGGAGCTCAAGCAAGTGGCGACAGCTTTTCAGTTCGCAGTCCTACACGGAGCCGCGAGGTCTTCCCTGGATGCGCGTAAGACCCAATCTGCTTGGCCCCCAGGAACTCACGAAAGTAGCGACAACCCCGCTGGGCCCCCACGAGCCCACGAACACCGCAACAGTTTCGCAGCTCGCAGCCGCCCAGGGCGCCGGGAGGTCTAGTCTGGATGTGCGTAAGACACGGCCCCGCTGGCCCCCCAGGAGTTCGCGAAAGTGGCGGCAATTTTGCAGTTCGCAGCCCCCAGGGAGCGGCGTGGTCCAGTTTGGATGTGCGTACGACACCACTCCGCTGGGCCCCCCAAGGAGCTGTCTAGTCTTGATGTGCGTAAGCCCACTTCTCTGGGCCCTCAGGGGCCCACGACATGCGCGACATTTTCGCAGTTCGCAGCCCCACCAGGAGCCGACAGGTATAGTCTGGATGTGCGAAAGACACCTCTCTGCTGCCCCCCCTCCCAGGGAGGAGAAGGAGGATGAGGAGGAGGAAGAGGAGGAGGTGACGCATCCTAGCACAGAAGGGTTAGGAATAACACTCGGTCCTCGATACTCTTCAACCCGTCGAGACGTGAACCTCCATCGATCGTCGCCTCGAACCTCCATCCCTCGAGCCTCGCACCTCGACCCCCGCCTGGTGGACTGCAAGCCGGCCGACGGCACCAGGGCGAAGCCGGGCGATTGGTATTGCGGCATGTGCGGGGACCTTGTCTTCGCGTCCAAAGGCTCGCTCGCCGCCAAGAGGAGGAGGAGGAGGAGGA